TATTGAGATACCTTCCCACTTACATCACTTTTCGGTTGACAGTGATAATAAATGACGAAAGACATTCTATTCTGTTTACAAATTTGCAAATCGGATATAAGTATTTAAACTGGTCTTATTTTGTTTGCAAGTCTTAAAGAAGTTAGCTAATTTATTATTCAAAATTTTACAGGAAAAGAAATTCTCAATTAGCAAAAACAATGTAGTCATCGCTGTGCCACCTGATGAAGAAGAAATAGAAGATCGATATCCAGCCACAATATCGTTTCCGGATAGTAAACACGCCTTTGTATCTAATGGTTTTGGTCGTCTCACAATGTATATTACGGGTGACCGGCGCAATGCGACAACTTGGGAGGTTGTCGCAGTCATTTTAGCTTTCTTTTTTCTGATATGAATTTTCAAAATTATAAATAGATCAGACTAGCATTCCACTTATCTTTTATACTTCGCTATGCTCTGTTTTAAAATGTGTAAATGTGTTTGATTTAGGAATGTTTAAGTGACGAGCCGCTTATTGTTGATGGTAAAGTAAGCTCATTTATAATTATTGAAAGCCGTTATATGGAAAATAAATTTGATGTATTGTTACGATCTATTGTACCCAACAATAAGTCTTCAAAACAAGGAAATTTTTCAAACAAAATAGTGTGGTTAACCGTTATCAAAGGTCAGTTTCTTTGCCTTGATCAGATATCTAAAATTTCTTGTATGTTTTTATGCATTATGGCATGTGTTTATGACATTATAAGGTTTTTTTTTGTTTATTCAAAATAGGATACATGAGACGCTAGAAAGAACCTACTAGTAATGATAAAAATCCTCGAATTTTAAATCCATGTGCTTCAGTGTCATAAGCCGTTAGAAGTACTTCATGTCGTGCGGTTTATTTTTCTTCTTCAGAAGTTGAAAAAATGAAAATAATTGAAATTCGCAGCATAATATGTACCGGTCACACTGAAATGATCACACTCGACAAATTGCCAGAAAACTTAATCGTTATTAGCACTGGCGACCTAAGTTTCTGTGATAATGGAGTTAGTGTATCGGATGCTGCAGAGCGAGAAATGAATAAAGAATACGGTAAAAGTTTCTGGAGAGATTTTTCATGGGTTAAATTCAAAGGATTAAATTAAATTTATAAAATTTTTGATCTTTTTACTTCCAGATGTTGAAACTACAAAGCTAGCGAAGAAAAGATATGCTTGGTCTCAAACAAGAACTGACGTGACAGCAGTGTTTACTTGTGATGAGACAGTTTCAAAAAAAGATGTTTCGTTATCTCTGAGCGCGACATCTATTCATTTCTCGGTAAAAGATATGATACTTATCGGTGGAATTCTTGGTGGCTCAGTTGATCCAACGTCATCAACTTACACTATTGATGATAATAAGTAAGTTACGTAATATAACGATATCATTTGTTTTAATTAGTATGTTTTCTGATTTTGTTGCATTTGGTATTTATCGTCACTTGTGTCCTACTAATTTTTTAAATTATCCACTGGAAATATTCATTTTTTGTTTTGTCATAATATATTCTATAATAAAATTTTTCTGTTTGAGATTAGAATTGTTTCTCGTTAAAAGTGGAGGTGGCTTAACTAACTGGTCGGAATTGGTGCTGAATGACGATCAAGGCGTTTATGAAGTTAATCCGGAATCACTAAGTATTGCTTCGGAGATGTTGGAGCGCTTCACATCCGAATCACAGGTTTTAGTAACATTAATAACATATTTCGCAGATATTAGATTTTTCATTAGGTTTTTTTGTAAATTTTAATCATTCAGGCCGTGGGTAATGCAGGAATTGATCGAAATTTTAACATCGAACAAATGGAAGATTGTGATATCAGCACGGATGACATTTGCAAAATTCGTTGGTTGAATTGTGCTTCACAAAAGTTAAGTCATGAGGTAAGTCATTACTATAACTTTAGTTAAGGTGTAAGATGTTTGATTTCCTTACAAATTGAAATGATTTAAGCGCTAATCAAAAACTGTTGCCTTTTTTTCTCTAATGTTAGCTTACTGTTTGCAGATGCAGTGATAATAATAATTATTAGTGGAACACTAGTAATTATTATTATTATAAAAAAATTAAAAAAAGTTGAGTTTAAATAAAAAGATTGAGTTGTACTTTATCGTACTTTATTTATCTTTATTTTTTTATTTTTTAAATTACATGCATTTACAGAGTGATATAACGACACACAATATTTTGTTTTCTGTATGTTTGGATTTTGGACCTCGTTTTCTTTGTATCCGTATGGACGTTGACGGTATTTTATGGAAATTTACGGAAGAAAGCAGGAAACTTCAACATCATGCAACGTTCAGTGCATTTGGATATGTTCAGGTATATATCGAGTTTGGACGCTGTTGTAAAAATTTGTTAAATTATGGTTCTTGTGCACAAGTCATAAAAGTTTGCATTTGTAATAACATGCAGTAAAACAAAAACTAATTTTTGAGAGAAATTTACGGTGTTTATAATCTCTGTGTAAAAAAAAAGTATGCATAAAAAAGGAAAACTAAGCCTTTTCACTATTGCAGACGATATGTTGGAGGTTGAAAATGTTTTAAATGGTTCTTTTAGTACTCAAAAAAATGCCTCAAAATATTAATTTATGACATATATTTTAACAACTTTCATTTCATTGAAAAATCTGGCTTGTACTATAGGTTTGGAATATTTTATAGGCATCTAAAACACAGCGAAAATTCAGCACATGTCCACCTGATTGTTCTTACGTCGTTATTGTCGAGAGAAAACGACATGCATTTGTGTATTGGCAACCATTAACTATAACTTCCGGTATTTATCATCCATATTTCATTATGCAGAGCATAGTAAATATTTGAGCACTTTTATGAAAGCTAAGTCTGTTCAGATTTGCGGAACCGGAAAACAGGTCGTCGAGTTGCGGGAGTTGCTAAGCAGCAGCTAATATCTTTATTTAAACCTTCTGAATTCTGCGACGCTAATGCCGTGACGGAGAATATTGTTGGCGTTCATGCGGATAATGAATTCCTTTTTATTCTAACTACTGCCGATATTTTTGCTGTGCTTTTAAAAGATCTCTCTCGGTTATAAGAGTAAGTCTCTCGAATTGTATAAGTAAAGCTATTGAATTTTGATAGTTTGTCAAGAATTAATAAAAATGATTCATGCAAATGCGCAATGTAAATCAATAACAAGATTTTAACATATTTGCCTCTCTGTAATTTTACAATGCTTTTATTTTAAAATCAGCAGAGGTTCCAGTAGTGTAACTTGTTTTCGTTGTATCTTTCTTGTTGATTTGCAAATAAAAATTATGGATGAAATGTTTTTCCTAGCATTACGCAAAAGTTATATTACTGCTGTTGCGGAAATTATATGAAATTGGATTTAAAGGGAAGTATTATCATAATTTCTTTATGGACGCCATTCCTGTACATCAAAAACCATTGTGAAATTTCTATACTTTTATATTTGATTTAATCAACGCATTTTATATACTACCCGATGTTGGTTTGATTGAATGGCTGTGTTGTTACGGATTTGCTTCTTTGCAATCTGTTTCTTGATTGCTGGATCGTTTTTCGGTGTTTGTTCATTCTTTCCTTTCTAATGATTTCGGTAGTTCCGTAGATTTTTTAAGCGATATGCGTTCTCACTTTTGACATCAATGAAATATAAAGTGTAATTTAACTGCTATAGAAGTATGTCTCTGTCGTTTGTGGATGATCATTTCCAATTTGCCGAAATGAACATTAAGCATACTGGTAATATGGATGAAACCATGGCAATGGTACGTCGAGCAGTACGGATGGGTTATGACTGTGTCGTAATTAATACTGACATAGGACAGATGATGCAAGACGGTGTAAATCTGGTAAGTCTTTTTTTGCAGGATAAATACATAGTGAATATTCACTATTGCATATTTCAGAGATAGCGAAATAGAGCTTTAAGAGTTATTTTTATATAGATAATCAGATCACATATTTGAGAGTTCTTATGAAATGGATGTAGACATTGAAATGAGTGCATGTGTTGGTCAATTTTGTTGTCTTCCATTTTTTGTAACTTATTTAAACAACAATTTTAGGGTGATGAGCCACCACATAAGAAAAAGAAGAAAGGTGGTAAAGAGCGGAACGTTATACCGGATCCAGTTAGCATCGATTGTTCCCAATTGGATACCAGTATGCTTGAAGCAAATGGTAAACGTCTTAGAGTTTTCAGGTGCATTTCTTTTGCAATTAAATATGACTCTAATTGATAGAGCGGCTGAGTTTGACTTTTTTAAATTATAATTTGACTTTTTTTAAATTATAATCCTTATGATTTGTTCGAAAGAAACGTGATGGTGCGTGAAGTTATAATGAAATGATTTGGTACTAAATTAGTTGAATCATTTTTCTTATTCATCTCAAATTTTTAGCCGTCTAACTACTACAGTATCAAGTAGCACAGAGGTTCATTTACTGATGCATCATCCTCAATTGAAAAAATACGATTTGATTGCCGTACGTCCATCAGATGATCAGATCCTTCAGACACTGAGCAAAAAGGGTGATTTTGTTGACATTATCACTTACGACCAGGCATCAACATCTGTTGGCTGGCTCAATAAAAGCAAGGTAGCATTTTCAAGGTTTTTAATCTGTTTTGCGAAGTAAAATTCTATCAATTTTATCAAAGTTTATCTCAGGGTTATGGGATTACTCGAAGGTCACACTTAAGTTTACACAATAATACAAATAGTTGGTGCATTTTTCAAACTTCAATTGTAATAATGTGCTAAATGATAATGTGATGTAATTTTTTTCCAGATTATTCAGCTGTGTGTTAACGATGGTATTACGTTCGAGATCACCTATGCTGATGCTTTAAAAGACAGCAGTCAAAGACGGGAGGTTTATCTTTTATTATTAATGTCATATTTAATTTTGGGAAAAATGCGGGAAAATAGTTTTTTGCTAATAACTTATTCGTGGAGTTGACTTTGAATGAAAAAATCTTCCTTTTTTCATATTGAAGATTGCTTATAATTTTTTTAAAAATACTTAGTCGTAAATTTTAACGCGTTCAATAGTTTCAGGTGTTAACAAATGGTCGACAGCTCTTAATGTCTACAAAAGGTGGTAATGGTGTTGTGATAGCAAGTGGTGCTGAAAGAATGATTGATATCAGAGCACCGTATGATGCCGCTAATATTTCAGTTCTTTTTGGTATTCGTCCTGGATGTGCGCGGAAGTTCGTTGCAAGTGAGCAATAAATTTTATTTCTTTCGTTAATAACTCTTGCCTCTTTTATTTTGTTTGCTTTTGAAATTTCCATAATGAAATTGCAAAATTCTTTTTTAAGGTAATGCTAAAAAGGCTTTGTTGAGAGCAGAATCACGAAAGACATTGAAAAGTGGTGTGTTAATACGAACTAAAGAAGATTTGCCGAAGAATCTTATTGTACGTCTAAATGTAGTTGAGAAGATTATGAGAATACCAGAATTTCGAGCTCAGTTAGAAATTGTAAAGGACGAAGTGGAAGAAATTGCAAAGGACGAAGTGGAAGAAACCGAAAAGAATTGATTTTGAAGAAAATGTAGTGTTTTTAAATTGGATTTCCTAAGTTAAATTATTTTACTTTTTGTACTTAGGAATATAAAAGCGTATATTCGACTATACTTTGGTCCGTTATCTTTAGTTTTAACTGTTACCAGTCCACATTTGTTAAATGTATTAATTCTACTTGATTTCTGAACAGAATAAAAATTTATATTTGAAATATTTTCCATGTTCATCAATATTTAATTTCTGCATCCGAGATATATGTTAAAATGAATTTGTTTCCATTAATCGTCTTTCTATCTTTTCTGGATTTCAGATTAATTGATTAACAAATAGAGTTGTTTTGGAATTGATTGTCAGTTTCAGGGTTTGATTCTTTTCATATTCGACAGGCTAACGTCCTTTTGGTAGAGGTCGCATTATATATGTGCCCCTATAATTAACGTATATAGGAAAAAAAGTATATAGGAGAAATGTGGAGGAAGTTTTTGAAGTTTGACCGTGATGCTGTGCGAAATGGTTGGAGGAAAGTAATATGGAAACTGCAGAAGACATTGGGAATGGATGCAAGCTGGCCAGTGTTGTGGAGTAAGTTTGAATTATTTGCAAATTTAAATATTTAGAGATTAATTGATTTAATTCTGTTGCGAAAATTTGAGCTGAGAGTAAACTGAGGTCTCTGCCTTCTCGACAGTTCATCGAAGTGCTGAATGCGTCGCAAGAAAAACAACTCTTGAACATCATCACTGAAGTGGAGGTTGGTTAATATTTCTTCTGAAATTAATTTTAAGCTCAAGAGAATTCAAGCTTTTCCGGACAGTATACTATATATGTGCTTAGTACATATGTTTTGATCGCTTTGAATTATTATTTTCTATTTTATTTTTTAGGTTCAGCTCTTTTTACATTCACTGCTGTATGTTTTTTCGAAATTTGATGTCTGATAGTGTTCCAGATATCTCTCAGCAATAAATTCAAGAAAAAAAAGAGGTTTTTAAGTAGAGTTATAAAATTCAATGGGACAATCTTAAATTTAATGAAATATGTTTTGGTGTTTATTTAGTAACTCCCAGATTTTGATGGAAATTTGAACAAAGTGATTCAAGGCAAAAGCCAAAATAAAAATGTATGCATTTAAAGTTATGACAAATAAATTCACCTATTGCAGTTACTTTCCCGTTGTTACAATTATTTTCCCAAACATCTGTCAGATGCGAATTGGAAGAGGTTGCTTCATTGTGAAACTCAGAAGCAACGGTTCAATTATATCAAGTTTTGTCGTCAAAAGGAATTAAAGGAATTAAAATGCGAAATGAAACATCGGCTGAAGATTTCTGAGAAATTAGGAACTTCGAAACCGGTGTCAGGATTTGCAGTGTTTGTGGGCACCACACGGCGGAGTATGTTATTTAATTGGTGATCTTATATGCTATATATCCTAATGTAAGGACAATCTCTTATCGCTATTTTCTGCGTTCACAATATAGTTTAAGAAGCAGTATTTTTAGAAATATATATTTTTGAAGTTATTTAAATATATTTATCTGTTAATAATATCAAAGATCCATTTTCCTAAATATTACACTATTTTCCTATATGTTGTCTTCAGAGCGTATTGCCGATCAACGAAGATTAATGAATCATCTACACAATCTTCAGCTGGATCCAAAACCTGCACTGCTCGTTGATTGTCGATTTTTAAATGAACTCTCACCGCAGGCTCTATCTCAAACATTACTCCAGCTTTCTTATTTGGCAAGTGAAAACCGAGATCGGCGACGTCCATGGCCACTTTATTTTTTTAATTTTGATATGAAGGACGAAAGAATCTTGGAAGGACGAGAGAGGTTAAGCCTTGTTGATGAAGATTTATATTAAATATTTTGAAGTTTTTGAAAATACACAATCAATTTTGTTTGATTACAGGTATTTATCATTAGCTAATTCACCAAGAAACATATCCCTCACAATCTCATCATCCAGTTACTTGAATCATTTCTCTCCTGAAGAAATAATTTATCTAAGTCCCCATGCAGAATTTGATTTAGAGGAGGTATGTTTTAAAACTGAAATATGGAAGTCCAAATGATTTAAATATTAAAAAAGTGAGAAAAACTGAGAGTGAGAATTTCGTTGCATGTGCAGGTAGACGGCTCAAAAGTATATATTTTGGGTGGCATAGTCGATAGAGTTGCGCAACACCGTTTGCACCCATATGCAACACTCCTTGCTGCAAAGCAAGATGGAGTCGAAGCGCGCCGACTTCCTATTGACAGATATATCAAGTTAGTTGTGCTTTATCTCAATGATATTGCTTTTGGCATTTAAAAAGAGTCAAATACTCGTAGATTTTTAAAAAAGTTCCTCCCACATTAGCATGCGTTAATTATGGTCCTTCTGTAACATAAGAAATTAGTTTCTTAGCGGTTAAGAGCGCATATTTTTATGAAACAAGCAAAATAAGCTCTTTTAAGACACTTTAATTGATAACATGAAATATGTGCCTAGATTAGTCTTTATCGCTTTACATTTCATTGTCCTATATTAGTCGATCATTTTCAAAAGTTTTTAATGAAAAGTTATGTGTAAAGTCCATATTTTATGTGAAAGATCACGATAGGTTTTTCATAGATGGAAATCAGGTTCGAGAAGTATGACATTGCTTGCGGTTACATCAATTCTCTATAGTGCTTATGAATCATGTGGTGATTGGGAAACTGCTTTTAGGAAGTAAGTTTACTTTTCTTTGGAAAACAGCGTGTTTTTCGGATTCTGGAAGAGAATATAGTTAGAGCTTTAATCCTGCTCAAGTATTTAGAAATTTAAATACCATGTAGATAAAATATACTGTAGATAAAGTATAAAACATATAGGTGATAAATTATTTTTTTAAAAGAGTATAAACATTTAGATATGTCCCGGTAAGAAATATCAGGGGACCAGAAGAGAAGAATCCCTACGGTCGACGTTTGCATGCATGCATACATGATTATGAGAGACGCCTACTAACAGAACTTAATCAGAGATTATAAATGATGCCAGAATAATATGTGATGCAAAAAAATCAATTTTTTAAAATTAATTTTCAAATATGCATTCAGCTGCCAATGAAGTATATAAATACAGCATTATTTTATAACCAACTTTTAGGCAAGGATTCTTCTCTTTGATATTAAATCTAGCAAGCTATATTTTCGATTTTGGGATATCTCGTACTAATTTTGGTAACGCTGTTCTGACATGTACTCGATCGATTGATTTTAGATCAATACTGCATCTAAAATACTGCATCTCAAACACCAAATTAAAGAATGAAAATTTCTAAATCAGAAGAACTGCTTCTAGAGCATGGATGAGTAAAATTTTTCAAAAATGAGTGAGTTTCCTACTGAGTGTAGCGGGAGAAACGGTAACAGACATTTTCTGGACGAATTTAATAATAGAAAGAACGAGAATAATAAATATCAATATATTTTGATGATGCTTCGAAGATTTTTATCATTATTAATAGGTGGATCATGAAAACATAGTCTAAATTCAAAATAAATTCACTACCTGTGTATCTGTGGATTACGATGTTTACCGCAAAATACATGCCCACATATGCATTGTATTTCTCTATCAATTATCTGCAATTTCATTCGGCAAAGACCACATCGTTTTTTAATTATCTCATTTTTTATCTGAAACAGATCTTCGCATACAGTAATATACAATGCTGTCATTATTCAGTGCTTTATTTATGAACGTTCAATTTAGTGAAAATAACTTGGAATTAGAACTAAAACTTCAGCAAACTCTAAAAAATTGCCAGTTTATAAACATGCAGAGTGATAGCATTTATCCAATGAAGCACATCTGATGATGTAGTTATATCACATAAATCGTATGAAAGATGAAGTTGAAGTCTTTTTGCTACAGGAAATAAGTTTCATTCATTAAAATCCGATAGAATGATGAATTATTTCTTATCTGCGGTTTGGGTAAAATTTAACTTTTACTTTGAGCAATTCGCTCTTATTTGATGGAACATCAAACAATTCCTCCTGTTCAAATTTCCTCTGTTTGATTGTTTCCGGAGGATCGAAATATGTCGCTAATTCCTTTTGTTTTATAATATCAGCTGTACCTTTTGGAGTTGAAATGGATGGTGACGAAGCAATGGAAAACCTGTAAGGCTTTAACATATCAAATGTTGCAAGAAGTGATATAGGCCTATAGGACTTACGCGCATGAATTATTGAATGATGATGATGACTGCGATGTTAAATCGGTTGTCATTTCTTTTCCAAGCTTTTTTCGAATTTTTCGCTGCATGTTTTCTGTGTTAATTCGTCGAACCTTTTCTCTTTGCTTTATCAATAATTTCATTTTTTCTCGCATATGTTCATGTTCCGCTTGTTTGCATTCGCTGGATACAACTTCAGCATATTCGCTAGACCTGAATGGATGCACGGAATTCAAGAATACATGCAATTAGCATGTAAATTATAATGAATATTGATCATGTTATTTTTTTTAAATTCCTTTAAATTAGTATATATAAAAAAGTTAAAAAAAAAGCAGAGTAGATGCTAAGTAAAAAAAAAGTCTAAAGTGAAAATTGCCCGGAAAAGCTTGGTTCAGAATTGTCGATGGATGGCAAAGAACGAATTAAATTTCGTAAATTAGCTAGTGATTGAGACATTCGAATCAAAGATGCAATCTCTTCACGATCATTATTACCAGCAATTGGTTTTACTAACAACCACAATACACTACCCGAAGTGATACCAATTGATGTCAAAGAACCGCCGTCATTCCTGAAATAGCTAAAATTGTTTTCAAACGCTAAAATTTTTTTTACATGTTGAATTTGAAAACGTGAGAAGTTGTTGTGCTTTTATTTCAATAAAAATGATGACCGAAAGTTTTCACAGGATTGATAACGTTGCATCGAATTTTGCACTATGATTAAAAAGATGTAAAGAAGGAAGATAATCAAACTAGGCATCATTTACGTGGAAATTCTAACATAAATCATGTTTACAATAGCTGTTTGATTTCTACGACACTTATAAAGGTTACTCTCTTCCTTTCTCTCGCTCTCTAAAAAAAAAATCATCATAACTCTATAACTCTTATAATTTTAAGGAGGAAAGATTTTGAAATAGCAAACTCACTTCAATTCCTTATTATTATGAATGAGAATAATTTGATGAGCACCACCAAATCGTGATTGCAAATAATTCTTCAGCATGCGTATACTTGTTGTTTTCTTCATCACTAACTTCAGTGGTTTAAATGATGATACAGTTGATTTAATTGTAACCTAAAATAAACAATTCTACAATCTTAATTTTATGAGCATAAATTCATTCAGAAATTTTGTCACAAAAAAATAACTCGACACCTGTGCATTCTAATTTAAAATAAACAAAGAACTTTAAATTATGATCTGATATTACTATATTTAAATTTGTCCTAAATTTTCAACTTCATTAAAAAATGATAATGAATTAGCATAACTTACTGTAACCATATCAGGTCTGGATATGTAACTCTCTGATTTAGATTTTGCAGCTATTTTACAAACTGTAAAAAATTAACAAATTCATAGTTCTTTACAATCCATATTCCATCTGCTATTACATACTTACTTTCTCTGGCAATGTTAGTTTATAGGTAACAGTTAGCAATTGAACATTGTTATCCTATAATTTAACTGTTATCCTATAGTTTCAAAATTCGAAGAACGATTCACTTTCGGAAGCATTATGTGAAGAAGATTTGCAAGCATTTTATGATAAAATGAAGTGTTTATATTACATGTTGTGTTTGTAGCTTCAAGAGATCGAGCATCAGGTGAAGTTAACGCTCGTAGCATACTTTTGTTTTGCACGTTTGGTGTTCTGTAAATTACAATATTAGAAATCATTAGTGTAAAATACTTCCATAATTTTAAACCAAACAGGTATTTCCATAACTTTAAACTAAATAAGTATTTTCACAATTTTAAACCAAGAAAATATTTTGACAATTTTAAATCAAGCAAGAATTTCCACAATTTTAAATCAAACAACCAATGAAACTATCAAGATTTGAATACTTTTGATGAGGGATCTCTTCGCTTTTCTTTTGCGAAGACGCATCGTTAACAGTTTTCATATTCGCAAACACTAAAAGCGATTATTGAAATAAGCTTTTCAAAGATTCAATACATAAAAGAAGAATTAATTTGAAAAATTTTTTGAATTTTAGAAAAAATATGGAATAATGTATAGTAATATTATGACAAACACGTACAATTAGACGTATGTGATGGATTGGTCGGACGTATTTGCACTTGTTGTAAGTTAAAAGTAGCATTTTTTTCGGCTCCTTTCTCTTCCTTCAAAAAAATTTCGTGAAAAATCTTTAACACTTTGAGATAAATTGCAAAGGATAGAAATTATTTCACTTAGACAAGGTTTAATGAGTGACTGATTTTAAGATATCAAAGATTCGTTGAATTTCGTAGAGTTCGCGGAATTCCTCATGTTTACAGTGACAGTCTCCCGAACTATCAACAAAAAGGTCAAGAGTCAACAGGACACACTGACTTGAACACTTTCCATTCTTTTCTTATTCGTCAAATCAACGTTTGACCTTTCTTTACGAATTTTTAACTTGAAACATTCTATCATTTTCACTTCCACCGAAACTATCATAAAAGTCATCGCGAAACTGAACTTCTGAGTGAAGTATTTTAAAACTTTTTAAAAAACATAACATTTTTCCCATTAAACTTACCAGTAAGTTATCCATGGGTATATTTCGGTCAGAATAAAAAAGAGGTCTACCTTTGATTCTTTTTTATCGTTATTCTCTTTCATCTGATAAAACTTCCGCTTCACCTTCGACCACCTTTCACTCAGCAAATCACCGATAATAATAAATGAGGCATTCGTGTGAATATTTAAATAATTTATATAGGTAATATTCAAATGTATTCACATGTTTATGTTCCTGTTCACGTATAGAACTAATATATCTGAAGTGCTTCTATTTCTGCACTGCTATTAATCTTTTTCTACTATTGGCCTGAATGCAATACGAATGTCAATAAAGTTTTGTGGAATTAATGATTGATTAATTAGCTTAACTTGCAATAGTTCAAAAGGTAAGATGATAAATGCTAATAATTTAACAATGATAGGAATACTTCTCATTTCATTCTCAAATATTTCTGTTGTGTACACTATTTGTCTATTTTGCCTTCCCACATAAACACACAATCACACACCCATCATACCCACATAAACAAGCACACACACACACACACACACACACACACACACACA